TGCCAGGGAGGGGATTGGGATGTTTATGACATATGCTTTCATTTGTTTTGCTTTTGCTGTTTGTTTGATTAGATGAAAAAATAAAGGGTGCTCAACTAGACAACACAAAGCAGAATTCTCTCTCAGTTTCAAATGAGAAAAGACCAGCACTTGGAATCACACACACACACACACACACACACACACAAACTGAAGGTAGAGAGTTTGTATCTGTGGCAAGACATGTGGAGCTGTTTCGGTGTTGAAGACTTCTGCCATTTAGCTAATCTGAATAATCCTGAAGGTTCTTGGACATTTGGTATGTTCCTGGTTGCCTATTCCTGACTCAAGGCAATAATTTGGAAGGCTCTTGAACAGTGAGTGTTTCTGGTTGCCTATACCTGACCCAAGGCAATCAGCCCTGGTGTGTGGTAGCCTAGAATCTGAACATTCTAAAAGGCATAGATTTGGCACATGGATGTAATTGGCTAACAAGAAGAGAAACAACTGACTGGTCTCTCATCAGGGCTTCTGAAACAGCATTTATAAGAATCTGTGTCACATGGAGAAGGCTGCAAGTAGGCATAGGCAGGGCAGGGTGGGCAGGGTGGGTGAGGCAGAATGTGAGCAGGCCTCATGGAAGAGAAGTCTAGGAAAACACTGAAGGTAAAAGACTTAGCTGGCAAAAAAATAAGGAAAAGTCGGGCCATGAAGGAACAGGTCGTCTTTAACCCCAGCACTCGGGAGGCAGAGGCAGACAGATCTCTGTGAGTTCGAGGTCAGCCTGGTCTTCAAGAGCTAGTTCCAGGACATGCTTCAAACTTACAGAGAAAGTTTATCTCATTTAGCTGGCAAGTGAGAAAAGCTAATCACTAGTCAGGTGAGCCACTGAACTAAAGTCCTGTGGATGGGGATTGCCCACAGCAGAAACTTAAACTCTCCATCACACGTGAGGGCAAAAAAGAAATGAAAAAAGCACCACGGTCTCATTATCAGTAGCTGTGATTTTGTTACCAAGAAAAGTGAGATCTCATTATGATTGCTATAAACTGCATTAAAATATTTTTGTGGCTCTTCACAGTTTGAATTTGCTATAATTATCACACCTGCTGCTAGACTGTATTTAAATGCATTATTAAAGAAGCATGCATTTTCTTTTATGACAAAATTTGTGTTATACTTAATTATATTTCAAATAAGTAGGTTCATCTTATAATCTTACATATTTAACTTCAAGAATTTAAAAACATTTTTCTAAGGAGAGTTCCCAGTGCTTCACCAAATTTCTTAAATGGCCCAACATACAAATGTGTGCACACATTCACAGGAACACACATCTGTGTACAAACGTGCATGCACACACACCCTGCAGGTGAGAAGCCTGTCATGGGGAATGACCTCACATGCTCATTGGAAAGATGGGAAGAACTAAGGCAGAATCATAAGTCTCAGATGGAAGACCCGCCATAGCCAAGTTTCACGGGAATAAAGGTGTTCCTCATCAGAACAGTTATGGAATCCCCAGCTGTGAGGTTAGCAAAAACATAAAAGGGAGAGAATATATTTGTTTCTTCCACATGAAAGAAGTGAGATTCAAGCAGAATGGTATATAATGGTGGTTGGTCTTTTCAACATCTCTGGGCATAAGAATCACATCAGTGTGATCTACCCCATGTTGTAGTTTTGAAAGAAAATGGTCCCCGATGGCAGTGGCATTATTAAGAGGTTTGACTTTGTTGGAGTGGGTATGGCCATGTTGGAAGCAGTGTGTCACTGTGGAGGCGGGCTCAGAGGTCTCATAGATGCCTCACCCATTGTCTCAGACCACTTCCTTTCCCTGTGAGTCAAGATTTAAGAACTCTCAGCTCCTTCTCTCACACCATGTCTGCCCACATGCTGCCTTGCTTCCCACCCTGATGATAATGGACTAACCCTCTTAACCCTCTGAACTGTAAGCTAGCCACCACAATTAAATATTTTCCTTTATAAGAGTTGCCATGGTCATGGTGTCTCTTTGCAGGAATAGAAACCCTAACTAAGATACCCCATCAGAGAGAGCACCAGGCTTTTTCCTGCTTGCTCTGCAATCCATTTCTCCCACATGAGAATGGGAGAAAAAGAGAAGCAAAGGCACTGATTTCTCCTCCTTTACACCAGCAGCAGCATCTACTACAAGGCCCAGCATCCCGGTACCCATCCTGATGAACAGTCTCCGTGAGAAGTTGCATCCTCACTGGAGGTCCTGGGCTTCTGGGCTTTGTCTTCTAGGTTCACCTCTTTGGCTATCATGCTGCTTCTTTGCTTTTCCTCCTTTATAATCAGCTTCCTGTGTCAAGTTCCTTCCTTTTCCATATGAGCGGTAAGTTAAACAGTGTGAGCTGGGGGTTTGAGAGATGGGTCCGTGAAAGAGCACTGGCTACTCTCTCAAAGGACCTGGGTTCAATTCCCAGCACTCACATAGGGACCCAGAATTTGTAACTCCAATCCCAAATCTGTTATTTAAGGGCATCAGATTCACAGAGGGCACACAGACATATATGCAGGCAAAACATCCATGCATGTAAAAATATTAATTAAAAATTTAAAATCGTGCTAGTAATAACTTTTGTTTTCTCACAAGACAAAAGAAGAATGAGCATTCCAGATGATATTACAGTTGTCACATACTCCCAGGGTTCTGCGATAATTTAGATTTAATACTAAATTTTTGCCTATATCAGAACAGAATCACAATATAAATGGAGTATTAGCAGCCTTTAGGCAAAGGTCCTATATGTGTGGAGGAGGGATACAACAAAAGACCTTAAGAAAAGTCCAAAGAGAACAGAGAGCAGCACTTTTTGGGTTAAAGGTGGAATATTATATTATATTATATTATATTATATTTTAGAAGGGAGTGTGATTTGAAAATGCAGGTGTAAGGAGGTGTTGTCCAGTATACATACTGACACTGGACAACCAAAAGTTGGTAGATGAATCTATTAGACACTCTTCATCTGGATTTAGGGTTCGGGCTATGCAACAACTGGACTTCTTTCTTACTTGTACATGACTAGGATAATGACATACTATCCCAGGATTTGAACCCTAAGAAATTTACCTAAAGATAGATATGTCCAGTTGTTTTGGGTTTGTTTAGGTTTAGTTTGGGTGTGGGTGGATTTTGTGTGTGTGAGGGGGTGTTTCATTTGGTTTTGGCAGTGGAAGTGATTGCGTAGCTGGCTCCAATTAAAGATGTAGAGGGGTAACAAGGCTGGATTCTCATAACTCTGCTAACCCAAGGTGAAACTGGCTATTTTAGCTGCTCATATGTTTTGGCTCGTTTTCCCTACCAGTTCTTCAGACTCCCTAGTGATTGTTTGAGACAATCTATCTTCTAGCTCTGAATTCCATTTCTGTGTTAGGTAGCCATAGGATGGTTTCACAGCATGTACCCAACAAACTTAATAAAATTTTATTCCCATTCTCATGCTACAGCAAATAAAATGTTATTTCATTTATATTTTATGATTGGAATAAGAAGGTGCCATGCAAGCTTCCAAACTATGGAAGAAACTTTTATTAATTCATAATTTTTTGTATGTTATATGACAATATATGTATATACCAGCACACATCTGTCCAAAACTAGTACATGAATTTGAGGCCATTATATATGTCAGGTTCATTTCCCAGCAAAATACTCCAGCCTGCAGCTTATCTAACAGGTACAAAACCCTATGACTAATCCTCAGGGCTATTAAAAAAAAAAAAAACACTCCTACATGTTAACTTTGTAAATCATGCATGATGATTTTCCTTGTTGTACTGACAGATTTTCCTAGAACGATCTCTCATGCCATATTTATTACCTAAAAATGACTTAGAATTTTTTCATACTCTGCTTTCTCACAGAAACTGAACAGCAATACCATGAATGTCTTAGAATTAGAGTTCTCCTATAGAACTACATCTATGAAGTTAGCACCTTTGTGATGCAATTACCTCATATAAGTGCTATCTGTTAGAGATCAAGCTTTTAACAGATAATGGGGGCACTTCATACCTAAAGCACAACAGGTAGAAAGAGCAGCGTATGAAAAAGAGCCCTGACATTCCTTATACATATGTGTTGATGTCTCGAAGACAGTGTTTTGTTGGGTTATCTTTATTTTTTGCATGTTTTTATTACATTTGTGAGTGTGTGTGTGTGTGTGTGTGTGTGTGTTTCCATGTTCAGGCATACCAGCACACCATCAAATACCTATAGAAGTCATATAGCAGCCTACCTGGGTTAGTTCTCTCCTTACATCATGTAAGATCAGAGATCGAATTCAGGATGTCAGGCTTGGTGGCAGGTGCTTTAATTCACCAAATCATCTCTCTAGATCCAGAGTTGCATCAATCGTAGGGATCATTGTTCCACTCCCTGGTCCACTGAATACGAAGGAACGCACATTGCTCTGTCCTAAGCTCCACTGGGATGAAACAGTAACCCTCTGAAACCAAGAGTCACATGCTCCTTTTCTTCCCTCAGACCACAGGAATGTAAGTAAAAGAACATCTCACCAGAGCTCCATGAGAAACAAGACAATTTAGATTAAGCCCCTAACAACTACAGCAGTCAGTATTATAATTGTGGATTTTCATTTCTTTGACGTGAACTTATATTTAAATCGTAGCGTCTTTTAGATCATAGTTTAAAACACTAAGAGAAGCATTTCCCTTACTGCCAAGTTTTAATAAGTGCGAACTTATTGCCATGCAAAACTCCTGCATGAGAAAACCATTTGGAACGCACCAGCTCCACATTTTATGTGTTTAATAGCGAGGGATTTTGTCACAGGAAACTGCAAACCATGGGCATTTGTTCTCGTATGAATCAACACAGGTCATGTAACATGAATTGTACAAGTATGTGAAATCTGTTGCCCTCAGAACTTGTTTTGCAAATTGTAATGGATTGCAAGTGTTTGTCAATCTGAATGGATTGTTTTTTTCTTTTTTGACATGTAGAACTGATTTAGAGTCAAAGCACTTACTTGGAAAAGCCAGCAGTTGGCAGTAGCTGCTAAGGGTTGTGTATCTGAAAAGCCCATGCAGTAAGTCATGTCCGCCTCATTTGCTGGCATAAATGATGAGGTTCCACGTGGCCATCAATTTTCCTAGCTTAATGTAAAATTCGGTTTGTTCTTAACTTTTCCCTGCAAATTAGAGAAATGAGCCCAGTGAGAATTAAAGAGCTGTGCAGAATGCCTGAATTGCTTAACATGAGCGAGAATTGACAACAGACATATTTTCATATTTTACTGGTGGATAAACTGAACGTTGAAGAGCCATCTGGATAGAGTTTGGTTTTTCGTGCATGGAGTGCCTTTATCCTGGTCCAAATACAGGTAAGGCATGTATTTTTTTTTTTTCTGTGCAAGCCACCAATACCTATAATTGTTAGCTAGCTCTCAGGAGATGCTTATCCTATCCATTTTAAAGGAAGACAGCACTTTTAATTACTACTTTTTTATTTCTAAGTGATAAAGTTGAGCAGCAGGAAGACTCTCCGAGGAGCTTGTTCGACAACTGAAAGACAAACAGTGGGAACGATTATGTGTGTGGTTTTCTCATTTAATTGCATTCGAGCAGGAGTAGAGTGAGAATTACTTCTAGATGACTAAGAAGAGGCTAAGAAAAAAGAGAGATTCTACATGTTTACATTTGAAACTACAAATGGAAGCCGAGAGACCGGCAGTGGCCTTGTATTTTTTTTTTTACAAACGTATCCATCTGCTGCAGCATACATTAATTTTCCTGACAAAGTTTAATGTATATTTTAAGACGTGATCTGCTGCTCAGCAACCACGCTTCAGAAACTAGCATTCTGGAATCTTTCAAAACCAGCCGTTTCCAGGGGGAGAAAAATCTATCTACCATCTGCTTGCTTCGTTAAAATACATAATGGGGGGGGAGATCAGAATTGGATTTTTATTAGCTCAGTGCTCCCTGGCGTCCACTCCACTGCGGTTATGGTATACAGCAGCCTATACAGAAAACAAATCCCAAGGAAATATTAACCACCTCATATCTATATACAAACACAACAATAAACTTTATTCAAAAAAATATGTTTAGGTAGAACAAATCACCTTGGAAGCACTTAGTATTTTTCTAGTATTCTTCCATCAACTAAAGGAGATCTTTTCAAATCCATATTGTGAAATCCTCAGATTGGAGAATATCATAACAACAGTTTGTCATGGAAAAGCCAAGATTACTAAGACAAACCATCAAAGAGATAGAATTAGTTGTTGAGAGTTACAGATGTAGAAACATTATTGTTAAGTACTAAATGGAAACTCTTGTTTATAAAATAAACTTTATAAAATCATAGTTATATTTAGACGACTTAATTATGAAAAGCATCTGGTTTGTTGAAGCCATGGTCTTGTGTTTGTAATAAATTAGTATTGTAATAAATTATCCAAATGTTTGAATGCTTTCCTATATTACAAAAATAATGATTACAATATAGCAAAAATACAGTAATAATCTTGCTCTTTAGAGACAAATAACTAGAACAAACATTTTTTTAAAAATCACAATAGCTCTGGTGATGATGTGGAAATCCAAGCAGTCATTAGGTAAAGAAGCATCCCTAAGTTGCCTAAGAACAGACTTGTTGGGGAATATTATTTCTAGGTGTGTGACTTTTGTTTACGCTGCATTTGTTGAACTCTGTAAAGCTGTGCCTGTCTTAAATCACCTGATGGTTCTAATAAAGAGATGGATGGCCAATAACAAGGCAGGAGCTAGGCTAGGCAGAGCTGGCAAGCAGAGAATATAAAAGGAGAATGAGAAACCAAAAGGAGAGGAGGACATTAGGGGCCAGTCACCTGGCTAAACGGCTGGCCGCGGAGAAAGAGGCAAAGAATGGTATACAGAACAGAGAAAGATAAAAGTCCAGAGGCAAAAGATAGATGGGTTAATTTATGTTAAGAAAATCTGGCAAGAAACAAGCCAAGCTAATTTGGGGCAATTATAAGTAAGAATAAGCATCCATGTGTGATTTATTTGGGAGCTGGCTGGTTGACCACCCCCCAAAGAAAAAGTAGTAAAAGTGAAAAAGATCACACAACAACACAGACTAGTGAAGACATTCTAAGGCTATAAACACTGCATAGATAGTAATCATGGTTTCCTAAATGTTAGGTCAAACCTTTTGCGTTTATTCATTCAACTACATGGTAAATATTGTATCCTACACCCACTGTCCCAAACATTGGCCCCTGTTCAACGTTCCTGAAAGTCAACCAAATTTTTAGCCCTTATAAGATCTGCAATCTAATGGGAAAAGAAAACAAACAAAAAACAAATGCTAATAAATTTAAGGAAGCCTCTTCGGCAACTAGAGAGCTATAGGGGTAAAAGGGACTGATTACTTAACATGGTTGTCATGAAAACACCTCTAAAGAGGATTTGAGCAATCTTGTTGCAAGTTAGGGAGAAGCAATACAACATTGGGAGGAAAGGGTCTACGCCTTGGTAATGCTGTGATCCTTTAACACAGTTCCTCCTGTTGTAGTGACCCCAACCATAAAACTATTTTCATCGAACTTCATAACTGTAATGCTATTACTCTTACAAATCATAAAGTAAATATGTGTTTCTCAATGGTTTTAGGCAATCCTGCGGAAAGGTCATTCAACCCAAGGTCACAATCTACAGGTTGAGAACTGCTGGTCTAGGCACTGTGACCAACCAGGGCAAAGCCTTGAACCAGAGCACAGTAAGTTTGTTTGAGGAATATGAAGAAACCAGTGCTGTTTAACCAATGCAAGACAAAAGAAAAGATTGGAAATAATTTGGAGAATAGGGGCTTTAGGTTATCATTAGAACTTCAAACTCACTACAAACATCAAGACAAAATATTAGTGACCTTTTAAAGTATGGTCTATATTTTATAAGTATTCTGGATCCTGAAGAGATGAAGTGCTGCTTAGAGCACTTGCTACTTTTCCAAAGGACCAGTGTTTAGTTCTCAGCAACCACCCGAAACACCAACTCCAGGAAATCTAATGCCCTCATCTGACTTTTTCTAGGCACCACAAATGTGTGCACATGTCATACACACACACACACACACACACACACACACACACACACACACACACACAATATTTTAAATTTTTAACTTAATTAAAACATAATTGCATCGTATCTTTTCTTTGTTTTCCTTCCTCCAATAACTCCAGCGTCACCCTCTCCCATTCTCTGAAATTGATGACCTCTTCTTCATTATTGTCCCCCTTGGTCTCTAAAACTTTGATTGTGTGAATATAACTTCAGGGCTGAGCACTTGGTGTTGGATAGCCAATCAGAAGGAGTGTCTCTGGGAAAAACTATTTTTCCCTTCTTCTCAACATCCTTTGATTGCTTGTAGTTTTTTGTCTAGGAATCAGGCTCCACGAGGTGTCCTCCTCCCGTGTTAGCATGCTCGCTGGTGTTGTCATTGCTCAGGTCTTGTTTAGGCAGCCATATTGTTAAGGTTTCATGGATGTATCTTTCCAGTCACTTCTAGGACACACAATCTCACAGTGAACTGACTCTACTCCTCCAACTCTAACAATCGTTCTGCCCCTTCTTCCACCATGTCCTCTGATTCTTAGGTGCAGGAGCTGTGTTGAAATGTATCCGCCGGGGCTGTGCTCACCAGATGAATGATTCCACCATGTTCTCTGAGTCTTAGTTATCAAACCTTTAAGTAGAGTTAGCTGCATGTCACTAACAGGAAGAAATGTCAGATAATAATAACAGTCGATTCTCTTCTATTTCAGTAGCAAATATTAATTGAATCTGATTTTACTGTGTTGGGGTGAAGGTGATTTTCTTTTTGTTGCTGTGGTTACTGTTGGACATTTGTTTTGGTTTTAATCACACTACTGGTGATTATAGCTTATGCCTCATGCATTCATCGAAGGCAAGTGCTCTGCCACTGAACTATACTCCAAACCTGTTTTTAGTTTTTCTGAGACAGGATCATACTACATTGACCAATGATCTTATGACCCTCCTACTTCAGCCTCCTGAGTAGCTGGGACAAGAGGAGTGAGACACTACCCCTAGCGTATTTTCACTGTTTTCAGCATGAAGCATGAGAATCTGTCTGTATGTGTACTGTTTTAATACCAGGAGGTCTTGTTTTCCTCAGAAACCTTTACCTACAGCCCTATGGGGAGCAGAGTACCTGGTGTCAAGCAGTATTCTCCCTACGGAGCACAGCTACAAGTCCTTTCATTGGCTTGAAAAATAACAGAACTGGTAATATGTCTCGGGATCACTGCTTCCCATTCTGACAGGTTTGCAAAACATTTCATCACCTTATGCCGTACATAAGGAGTCAGCGATGCTTTTAATAAAATATCAAATTGAAGTATCTGATGTATTCTAGACAAATGTCAAAGTTTAATAGCCACGGGGAAACAAAGACGGATACAAGCTTCCGGTAGGAAAGGCATATTCCCAGGGTAGGGGTCATTACTGCACACTCACTAATAGCCAGACATAAAAAGCTCTTTGGTTCTGAGCTTTAGATACTGTCGCTATTTCTAAAGGCTTTAAAGCATCCCAGAAGATGTCGCATCTCTTGAGAAGGAAGGAACAGGTAATCAAGATGCCTCTTTCTTCTACACAGCAACCCTAGCCAAGAGATGCAGATCTAGGAGCATCCTTTAGCAGGGGAAAACTGTCGCTAACAGACAGGAGGGAGTTCAACAGACACCCCTTCCTATTTCCTGTACGCCTTATGATAGACAAATAAAAATTGATTCAGCCCTTAAAGAGTGAGAGACAGAGAGACAGAGAGTGATGTGGTGTGTGTGTGTGTGTGTGTGTGTGTATGTTGTGGGTGGCTGTATGTGCATGTGGGGTGTATGTGTGTGGCATGTGTGTGTGGTGTATGTGGTGAGTAGGCGTATGTGTATGTGGTGTGTGTGGTGTGTGCGCATGTGGTATGTGTATGTACATGTAGTGTGTGCTATGTGTGGTGTGTGCTATGCATGGTGTGTGCATGTGGTGTGTGTGTGTGGTGTGTATGTGGTGGGTGGGTGTATGTGTATGTGGTGTGTGTGTATGGCATGTGTGTGTGCATATGGTGTGTGCTATGTGTGTGAGTACATGTGGTATGTGTGTGTGGCATGTGTGTGTGTGTGTGTGTGTACCTAGCTATGGAGAAGTGGGATATAACATTTGAAGCAGGATAAACAGAGAAAGAAGACACCAGCGTCTTCAGCTAGACTCCACTTTGGAAACACCACTCCTTGGATTTCTAGTTCACCCTTTCCAGTCTGCAGCAACCTCCCTACACTCTCAGGCCTTCCGCATCTGTGCTTGCTTTCCCTAGGAGAACTCCCAGCAGAATGGGAGCGAGCACTTCCTTAGACAAGGATTTTAAGGTCGCTTGCTGATCATTCCCAGCATGGGAATGGACAGTGGCAGGCTTCCTTCCCCTTTCCTAACTTTCCCAGCCCTTGCCTGTGACTTTGGCTCCCATAAGAGTTCAGGAAGCAGCACAGTGTGTTCCAAAGGTGAGGCCGCACTCAAGTCCCGCTCCTGGTTACAAAACTCTGAGCAAATCCTTCGACTGCCAGCAATGCAATTTTCTTCTTTCTATTTTTAAAACTGAGTCTCACGATTCAAGGATTTGCTTTTAAAGTAAATTCTTTATTTTTTTTTTTTTTAAGTTGTGTGAAAGGATCCCACAGGGGACCTCAGAACACCACACTTCCTTTGTTCACCTTCTTGCAATTTCCTCCTGAGTCACTTCGGTTGCTCAACCTGAAGGGCACTTAAGCGTGATTACTGCGAAGGTAAACAGTCTCAAGCCCCTCCTTTCCCAGCAACACACACAGACTTGTTCTGTTTGCTTTGGGCTTTTCCATAGCTATTAACATTACTCAGCCGGGTGCAGTGGCGTGGATGCCCTTGGATGAGCTGCAGTCCTGGCTTCTTTGTGGATTCCAGACACCACGGGAATGGGAGCGAGCACTTCTTTAGACAAGCATTTTAAGGTCTCTTGCTGATGGTTCACAGCCTGGGAATGGACAGTGGCAGGCTTCCTTCCCCTTTCCTAACTTTCCCAGCCCTTGCCTGTGACTTTGGCTCACATAAGCGTTCAGAGAGCAGCACAGTATGCTAATTCCACTTGAAGTTTCAGCTGGCAACTACCCACTCAGCAATGTAAAAAAAAAAAAATTGAATTTTAAACAGGAGAGAAGGGACATAGTAAGATTAGCTGAGCCTCGAAACTTCTGTGACTCCCCTTACTCTTTTCGGAATACTTGCGAGGTTCTTCAGGGACACTCTGATTGGTTGTGCGTTTAAAAAGCCTGTGCCTCTTCACAGCGCCTCCGATTTCTACCTCCAGCACACTCCTTGTGGTCCAATGTATTCAGCAGTCCCTTGGCGCTTTCTCAGTGCACAGTTCACACAGCAGCTAACTCGCAGTCAACAGCGAGAATTCCTGCAACCAAATATGGGGACTAAGAGGTGATCTAGCAATAGGGAAATGAACTTACTGACATACTCTCTCTGCTTCCATCTGCAAGGAGAAAAAGAACGGTTGGAGAATATTTGTTTAACTATGCAACTATGTGTTGCATTTGTTTAACTATTTAAAGATGTGTTATATTTGTTTATGTTTCAGAATATTTAGCTATGTAAAGATGTGTTACATCTATTTAATTATGTAAAGATGTGTTGCTCATTTTTGCCTTGCCTGCCTAAGGTACCTGATTGGCCTAATAAAGAGCTGAATGGCCAATAGTGAGGGAAGAAGTGGAACTTCGGGGCAGTGAGAGTAAGCAGGAGGAGAAATGTATGCTCCAGGAAGAAAGAAAAGGGGATGACAGGGAGATGCCAGGGGCCACCCAGCTAGGAGGAAGCAGGAAAGTAGGCCGTACAGAATGAAAGAAAGGGGAAAGGCCCAGAGACAAAACGTAGATGAATAGAAACAGGTTAAATTATGTTAAAAGAGCTAGTGGGACAAACCTAAGCTAAGACCAAGCATTCATAATTAACAATAAGTTTCCGTGTCCAATGGCAGCCCAAAGAAAAAGCCAACTACATCGGACATTCTCTGGGAGAACATCATCTTCAAGCATATCTGGAAATACAGACATTTTTGAACATTTTTAGAGAAAATCCCTTCAAATTAAAGGAATAAGAAAGCTTTCGCCTTATAACTCTGGAGCCCCAGGCTTGGTGGGAAATTGACTTAGCTGTCATATTTGTCTTTCCTAAGTAGAAGTCAGGTTTGCATGCATTAGTAGACGCATCTACATCTGCAACGTAGCAAATTGCTTACCTTCCCTGAACTCCGTGCTCTTATCTGCGACAAATACTCCACCGGAAAGAACTTTCAAGCCCCACCTGCCACTTTGTTGTGCTGGAGAAATAAGACACTCCGAGATTTTCATCACTTCTCTTTTGTTCCTAATTTACGATTCCTTTTGGAGTGAACACACCTCAAAGAAAAGGCTGCGTCCGAGTGTCATACGGTATGCCGGCCTTCAATCTCCTCTGCGAGGACGACAAACACACGGTCACGCTTAGTCCTGTTCATTCTGCCTCCAAAATGTATTCTGATCTCTCCGCCATCTCTTCATCAAAACCTCCTCACTGGCCTCCATGCTGATTTTCCTGCTTCTGGAACGTGTCCACACTGCAATCAGAGGTGCCTTGTTTGAAAAGTTTGAGAGCAAGTCTGGACCTTGTCAGAAATGCACCTGTGGCCTCGCAGCTCCCAGGATGAAACCCAAGCCTGCTGACTGTATTCCCAAAGGCAGTCAGGATCGGACCCGACTCGAGCTCTGACCGTGGGTGGCTGCCCCTTCTGTCACCGTGCTTCTCTTCGGTGCTCTTGTCCACGCCAGACTCAGAGCTTTCCTCACTAGAAGCTTCCGGCGTGCTCTTCTCTTTCCTCTGGCTTGACCGGAAATGATGTCAGCATTTTCAAGAAAGGAGCCGTAGTCAGTGCCGCAGACTTGAGTCCAGTTAGAAACTCCGTGTCTGGTGCCTCAGTGTCTCTGTGTCTCCATTGACCCATCGAATGGCTCCGATAAGCAGGCGTTCGCTGGTGGAATTGAGAGTGCCCCAGCCAGCCTCACGACCTTATGTCTCCTCCCATCCCTTCGCGCTTAGCCTCTACCTCAGCTTAACTATTTCCGTCATTGCCCTTACCTCAATTTATAATTCCTTTGGCAATTTTTTTTTCTCTTTTGGTTTTTCGAGACAGGGTTTCTCTGTGTAACAACCCTCGCTGTCCTGTAACTAGCTCTGTTGACCAGGCTGGCCTTGAACTCACAGAGACCCACCTGCCTCAGCCTTCCAAGGGCTGGGATTAAAGGCGTGGGCCACCACCACCCGGCTCTTTTGGTAATTTGTATACTGCTATTTGTTATCTGCCTTCACCTTTTGAATGGGAGCCCTATACAGATAGCAACCTCAGCTGTCCTCCTTGACATTGTGCTGCAGCCGGTTGAATAGTGTACGGATGAGGAAAAGAACCACAGTAAGAACAAATACTTGCGTGGTGTGTAAGTCGGCACCACGGAGGTTCGTGATGTGGCCATTCTTGGAGCCTCGCAGTCATTAGGACCCTAGACGGCACCAGCGGCAGGGAAGGGAAGGAGGGCCGTTCTCTACCACGGACCGTTGCCCTGCACACTTCTCCTCGTGTGCTCACCATTACGTCCTTCTCAACAGCCCAAAGAAGCAGTAAGTAAAAAACTCAAATAGCATTTCAGCCTCTGGGTCTGTTTTGTTTTAAAGGGGGTCTGCCAGATTTAAAGGAGGCCTTCCAGACTTTTGAAGATTTGTAGAAGGGTTCCCTGAACAAAAGATAACTGCTTGGCCATGAAAATGCTCCCTCCAGAGTGACTGTTTAGGACTTTAAACGTCTCGAAACAAACAAGTTCTGCACTCGTGTCTGTGGGTTTATAATGTAGTTAGAGAAAGCATAGACCACAGGCAGCCAAGGTGAAAACACTTTCCAATCAGTGGAAACGAGAACGTCAAGTCGCACAGTTCCTCACTGCGCCACGTGAGGGCGCAAGAACACCAGCTAAGAGAGACGCCGTGACTGAAAAGCTGTGTCACCTTTTCTCTTCATCCCCACATCAGAATTATGTGACAGAGCTTGATAAAACACTAATTCGATGGCTCTTCTGAATCAAAAATTGAATTTTATTAAGCACCTCCAGGAACCTCTCGGTATAATTTCTGCACATCGTCTCTGATACAGAGGTGATTCATCAGCTTATGCAACATAAAGCTACTAATTAGAAAATCGCATTCCTTTATAAAATATACTAAGATTAACATTCACAGTATAGTTTGCAGATGTTGATCCCAAATCAGAGTGGCTGCAGCCGTGCTGAGCGCCACATCCAGGCGCTCCCTGAGGGGCAGGGCGACCGTTCACTACTCACCTGCATACTTTTTCCTGATGAATCACCATGCCACAGTCTGCAGCCATCCTTTCCATGGGCAGAGAGGCACGAAGCCACAATCTGTATAATAACTATAATAACCTGAACTAAAAACAGCTGCCAATTTCTGATTTAAAAATAAAAGCACTCCTTTTTTTATCCATATTTTTTTATTGAGAATAAGAAAAAAAAAAGTTTCCGCCTCCTCCCAGCCTCCC